TAATATCGGGGTCTAGAATCGACAAACTCGAAATTCATGCCGCTACAGTGTTACGTTCGAGGAAAAGTGACAGGGGATAGAGAATTAACTAAAAATAAAATTAATAAAATTCGAATAGAATATCTTCGCAACAAATAATACATAATCGCGACCAAATACGTCGATACTTTTCAATTTAAAAAATGGTAAAACTGCATAAAAGATAACACACCTCCGATTTTATCATCACTTAAATATGTTGTAAGGGAGGTTCTTCTGAGTAATTCCTCGAAATAAATAAGGAATGGCATTGGTTTAGAAGATATAATAAATTGAAGTTTAACATTAAATTATACGTATATTATATAATTTATTTTTTTATTGAAAAGAACTATTTATGACATTTACGCGTAGGCGGGGGAGGGGCAGAGCTCCTCTTCGTGCACCTTCACCCCGAAAAAATTCTAACCTAACCCAAACCAATTTTCAGTTTTAAAAGTAAAGTTGGGTTGAATTAGGTTAGATTTTTTCGGAATGGGGATGCAGGGGAAGCGGAGTCCCTCCCCGCCCACGCATTCAATAAATAATATTTTTCAAGACAGGACTCACAAATTCGTGTAGTTACGTTGTAGTTATGTTGAAAGCTGTTAACGAACTGCGAGAAATAGGTGAAACACATTATTGATAAATTATCCATGACCGTGTACCTCCCGTAAATGTATATAAACAAACACTTTTTCGACGTCTGCTCTACAACAAATACAACGTACACAACCTTCACTTTTCCTAATATTCTTTTATAATACCTGAGAAAAAGCATTAAAACTGTAAAACTTTAATTTGTTATATCTCCTAAACCAATACCGCCCCCCACTTATTTCTTGCGGGGAATTACTCAGAAAAACCTCTCCTATAACATCTTTTATGCAGTTTTACCAAAAAAAAATATCTAAATTTTTAAAGACGGTCATATTCCGATCTTGCTGAAAACTTTTAGCTTCCTTTTCCTTGTAACTAAAGGATAATGATATGATGGTACAATACGCGCTCCGTTTCCTCGACAAGCGATTTTATATACCGCTCCAAAGTGGAATTATTGTAGAGATATCCTTACAGAATCTTGAATCGTCTTGCCGAGAAGCAAGGAGACGCAAGGGTTTGTATCCAGGAACGCGCGCGGGCTCGTTTCGCCTAAGCCTAATTTATAGGGATGTTTCGTGTCCTCCACAGTTGCCCCGCCAGGCTCTGTGTGTCCTATTACTCCTATTCTCTATTATGCGCCGTCGGCGCCGCCGTAGGCCGCCGGGGAGCCTCTCCCGATATCTATGTGCCATTCTAAATTATTCGGTATTGTCCTCGCATGATTCCATTGTCCGCGTCTGTCTCCACCGTGCGCTGATACGCCACGCCGCCGCAGGTTAGGGCGTAGACCTACAACAACACCCGGCCGCCGCGCCGGTCCGGGTGTTGTGTGAGCGTGTATCTGCTTCGAGTGCGCGTCTTGTCATCGCGTCGGTCAAGAGAGAGATCCGCACTCTCGTATGTACATCGTCGAACACGTCTAATTAATCGCCGCCACCGATCTCGCCGCCGTAAGAATGTCCGGACCGGTAGGGACCTGTTCGTGACGGCTGGGTGATCGGTGATCGCGAATGACGTTATCGTCGCTCGTATGCCAAAGGCTACTATGTGTATAACGAGATAGATAAGTTATCTAGACATCGTGGGGTGTTGCTTTGAAGCAACAGCCTCTGATGGCTGATAAGAATCGAAGAATGAGTTTTAATAATGTCGGATATACCGTGATTAAATAATGACAATTGAGCTTAGAATGTTGAATTAATATCAATTTAATTATAAATTATAATTAACATGCATTCATTTCCTGATATTGTCATTTTTGTTATTTTTTAACGACAAGTAGCTTTCGTAATTTTGACGACATGCAGAAGAGTTTAGAAAAATCTCCTTTCATAATTGAAAGATAAATATATGATGAAATCGATATTTTTAGCTAACGAAAGACTCGATTGTTCGACAACATTTATCGATATTTACCGCCATTCGTTTACGCTATTCGATTTAATGTCGACCTTTCTTCGCCAAGTCGTGGATGAGTACATATCTCTGCTGGCGCTTCTCTCAAGGCACGAAACAAGTTTTATTAACTTCCTCGCGTCTCAAAATACACGCTAGGTATATATATACGGTCGCCCCGCGTCGAAAGACACACCCAAGAGAAGTTAGATCTCTCATTCGTGTGTGTGTACGTGTATGCCCGGGACGGGAGAGATTACAATAAATTGCACACGCACCCTTCTCGAAATTCAAGACAAGTACCGGGTGAAAAAGGAAAGAAGGAAGGGGAAGAAAAAGATTCCTGTTCGCGATACTGTGTTCTCTATTGCCGCCGCATTGCTTCGCCTCGCCCAGAAGGGCGTTTTTTTTTTTCTTTTCACAACGTGTTCTCGTTTTTCTCATCTTTTCCGCCATTGATTAGACGGGCACTTTCGAGAAGGACACTGGACGCTTCGAAACGTATCGCGCGAGATATATTTCCAGTTTTCCTCATCCGCGATTCTTCCCCTCTACGAATCCATAGATCAACTTGATATATTTTGCAATTCAAGAACTATTATATATATTTCCGACGCTTTCGAATAGTAAGTAGGGAGTAAAACGCCGAGAACTCTCGAGTTACTCCATACGACACCTCGAACAATATACACGCTAGAGAATAATAACTCTTTTCATGTTGCGTTTAAAAGATCGGGCATAAATCGCCGGTAATTTCGCTGTCATTGTGAACTATGATACAGGATCGTAACAGTGTTTGCACCGGGCGTCACCCGAGACACCCTGTGTACATTCCGAGGAACGCAGCGCACCGACACTTGACACCCTCAAGGACCCGGTGGCAGACATGCACTTCGTTACGCCGCCACGGGACTTTATGAAGGTTACGGATAGAGGGATATATGAATTTCAGCGTAGCGGAAGGGGGCAGGTGGGGGGGGGTAGTCTCCCTGCGAGAGAATGATATTTTAATAACCGCCGGTAATATCTACCGGCGATTTTCTCTTACCCGGTGTACCCGTGGATACACGTGTTCGTGTATCGGTGTACGCGACACTTATACAAACGCTTCGAGGCACGTCGAAGGGAGAGAGGGGAGGAGCAAGGGGGAGGATTAAGAGTCTCCTCTATCTCGGTGCGCCAGCAGCTACATTAACACCGGCCCACGATATTGCATTCCTTTCCTTTGACGTCGGCCGGATGTCAATTATTAATGTTATTATCTGGATGCCGGAAGGGCGGGACGGCGGAGGGTGGGGGGG